AGACTTTTACAATCTCAGGATCATCAATAGCTCAGATTCTGACAGCAGATGACCCTGAGCTGAGCAGTGCAAGTGTGATACACCTGGGACACAGGATGCAATTCAGGGCTACCTGGACAAGTTCCAGAAGCAGGCCCATGGGAACCTCAGGAGGACCAAGGTGGGCAAACACAAGGTCCTGAACATGGCCTGGGGTAATTTCAGTACCAGTCCAGAAGTGAGCTAGTCCTGCTCTTGTCTTTCTGCTGCCCCAATCTTCCTATCCAGCCCTTCACTCCCAGCCTGTATTGGGACTGAGGTTCACCCAGCTCATGTGTAGAACCTCGTGAGATTCCCATGGATCCACTTCCCAAGCATGGCCAGGTCCTCCAGGATGTCCCCATCCTTTAGGAGCATCACCAGTCCTGCTCAGCTTCCTGTCACCTGCCAAGGGGCTCAGGGTGTGCTCCACCTCTCCGTGTCCTTGTCCAGGGACACTGGTCCTTGCTCTTTGATCACTGGTCCTGGGTACACCACACCTCACTGGACACAGAACCATTGACTACAGCTCTGCCTGTGTCTGTTGCTTCAGTGTTCTTGTGACACCTCTCCAAAATTGCCTCTTTGGGAATCTCTCCAAGGCTGGGTTTGATAATTTTGTTTATTTTCAGTCTTACCAATTCTCTTGTTCCCTCAATGCCTCTTTAATCCGTTTTTTGGTTTCCACCAAGCTGTACTCAGGACTTAACAGGTTGAAGATAAACCAAGTTTTGGAGAAGAAAATGATTGTAAAAATTCCCAAGCATGTGGGAAATGAAATGCTCTCAGAGGAGATTTTTGCTCTGCCCTTTGCTGTTCCACCCTTGGCCCACATTAAAATGATTAAGGGCAGAGGCCTCAGCTGCTGTGGGGTTGCAAATGCTGTTGGCTGCTGGCCAGGGCAGCAGAAAGTAGAGAAATCATTACTGGAGAGGAAACAGGCTTGTTTTGTTGGAATAAAGATTGTTCCAGGGGTGCAAATTTTGTGTATGAGGCTGGTGGAGAGGAGAGAAGCAAAGTCTGTCAGCTCACACTCTGCATTGTCAGCTCAGCTTCAATTCTACAGCAATTTTTGGGTTATACTGAATGAGAAAAGTCCCATTCCCTCCCTCCAAACCCCCTGACTGGGGACATGGCTGCTTTGGATTCTGGAATTTTACTCCAAGCAGAAAGATGATTTTCACTGTAACTTGAACAATAATTTGTGTTACAGCACAAACTGAAGCCTTTGGGGCATAAAACACTGCTGAGATTTGAGGAAGGTGCTTAGCGGTGACTGTTGCCCTCTTCTGCTCTGCTGGGGTCAGGAACATTGTTCTCCTGGTGCCTGTGTCAATCCAAACCCACAAAATTCCAGAAATCATTTACAGATCTGAGGACCTGAGCTTGATGTCAGAACTGAGCTGAGGCTCGTTGATCCTTCATCGGTGTGCCATCCGTGTGTGTTTCCATGTAAGCAAGGAAGTCACGGAGAAATGGATTTGATTCCTGGCAGCATTTGCCCTTAATGACACCCCCCATGCCTTTTAATTAGGGGCTGCAAAGAGCAGAGGTGACATTTTAGAGCTGGGCAGGTGCAGGTGCAGCTTTGGGCTCTCTCCAAACCTCTCTCTCTCTCTTAGCTCTCTCCAAACCCTGGCAGGAGTTGGGATCACAAGGGACAGGACCAGGGGAAATGGCCTCAAGTTGTGCCAGTGGGGCTTTAGGGTGGGTGTTGGGAAAATCTCTTTGTGGAAAGGGTGGTCGGGCACTGCCCAGGCCAGTGGTGAAGTCACTATCCCTGGAAATGTTCAAAAAAGGTGTGGATGTGGCATTTTGGGGACAAGGTTAGTGGTGAGCAGCCTACCAGCAGATCCTGGGTTGATGGTTGGACTCAGTGATCTTCTCTGACTTTAACAATTCCATGATTATGTGATTACACTCCTAGTTCCTGGGACATCCAGAATAGGCAACTGACTGTTTTTTTGGTTTGGTTTTTTTTTTTTTTTTTTTTTTTTTTTTTTTTTTTTCTATCTTCTTCCAAACTCCTTTTTTTCCTTCCAGTTCTGCAGAAAGTGGCCAGAATTATGGGGACTTTCAGCTGTTGCCTGAGCTCCGTCCCCACCATTTATTTATTGCAGTTTGGAACATTTTGCCTGCCTATGTCACAGCCAGTGCCTCAAAGTGGGAGCGACTCATAAATCCCAGGATGTTTCTGGGTGTGACGGGCCAGCTGCACTGCTGAGCAGATAACTGAGAGTCCCCTCAGGGTTTATGATATGCCAATAGAAAGTCTGGATTAATGGATTACCAGCATCATGCTGGATGAAGTCTTTATAAAGCTCTGACTGCTGGGCAGTCTGAGACCTCAGGAGAAGAGGGAAAGTCTGAGAGACACAAAAAAGCCCAAAGGCAGAGGAAATAAAATCTGTCCAGTTCAGGAGAGACTTGGCTTTGCAGGCACTATGAAAAGCTTTCTTTCCTGGACAGTCCTGGCAGTCCTTGTCCTGGTGCACATCTCCCAGGCAGTCTATGTTCAGGTAAGTTTTTTCTCTTTCTTTTGTTGTTATTACAAATTCAACAAAGTGCTGATATTCTGGTTGCAACAGGAATCTTGAACTAAATAAATAAACCTGAATTTTTGCTTTGCTCCGCCTTGATTTCCACCTGTATCTCCCCTGTACTCTGGGTTTTCCTTCCTTCCTAAAACACTTCAGCTATCACTAAATGCTGCTGCTGTTTATTTACCTTCTCCAGCCATGGCTCTGCTCAGTCCTTAGGGATTGAGGTGTTTCATGCCCATAATTTTCTCCTAGACATAAAGCCACGTGTGGTGAAGGTGCTGACTTTAGAGAGTGATGCAAACAAGGTGTGACAAAGGAGAAACTGCCTGGTGTTACCTGGTTCTAGGCAGGAAGTTCTTTGTGGAAATGATCTGTGAGTTTATGGGATGGAACCTGTGAAAAAAGGGAAAAGAAGAGCTTAGCTGGATCCAATTAAATATTAATAGGCAGAGAAGTGATTAAAGGAGACTCTGTGAAATTTTCCAAGTACACAGCACCTATGCTGACAGTCCATGCAATGTGGAAGGGGTTAAGAAGGCACTTCTTAAGAAGGCCCTGGTCTGTTATTGGGACAGTTTTGGATCTTTCTGCTCTTCTGAGAGACAGCGTGGGGATTTCAGTCTGATTGAATGTAAACAACTTCCTCTGGGGACCAGGAAAATGAATCCTTATTAAACAATTATTGACTCTATCTGTGTGTGTGCAGCAGCTTTCCAGGGCTAAGGTATCTTTGTGTCCTGGGCTATCCTCTTTTTTGTCCTTTGGATGACAGAGATATCCAGAGGCAGCAGGTTTAAGCTATTCTTTTCTCTCAAACCATTCTTCAACTTTTACATTCTCCAGAGGAGCAAGCAGCTTCCTACCCAGTGAAAAACATCCCCGTTTTTATTAATATTAAAAATATTAATAAATGAAAATGGCTGCTTCTAGGTTGCATAAAAAAAGTAGAAAGTGCATCTCTGGAGCTTGGGCTGGAATTCTTCACTCATTAATCATTAAATCTTTGTTTTCTCCTCTGTACTTGCAGTGAACTCTGTGTTGCACTCCTTTCACCTGAAGTCTTTGAGGTCTGAGTGATTCTTTGATTCTTCACTGCACAAAGTTGGATTGCACTCTTCTTCCCTGAAATTGTTCCTGAAACTTCCCTTCCTTGTCCCATAGAATGTCAAATTTAGCTCTCTTCAATACATCTTTCTTACTTGAGGTGGTGGGGTTTTGTCTCTATTTTGCTGTTCCTTTGTTATTTTTTTTGTCCCCAGGACCTGCAGATCTCAGGGTTTCTTCCCAGTTCCCGATTTCTGAAATTGTGCCTGTGGAAATCCACCTTTTTTTAGGTCTATGGGTTTTGCTTCTCAGTTGTGTGACCAAGAGCTGAATCAAGAGCTGCCTTTATAGGAAAAGTGATTTTTCATTGGCAGCCAGGGCTGATCACAGAATGAGAAAGTTGTTTAGGTTGGAAAAGCCCTTTAAGATTATTAAATCCATCTGTTCCTCCAGCACAGAGAGATCCACCATTTCCCCTGGTGCCACATCCACATGTTTTTGGAACAATTCCAGGGATGGTGACTCCACCACTCCCAGGGGCAGCTGATGCCAGTGCCTGATTAACTTTTATAGATCATTAAGGTCCGAAAAGATCTCTAAGATCATTGACTTCCATTGATAAATTAACCTGAGTAAGATCATAAACTGATTGCAAGAGAAAATATTTTGACAGAGTAAATGCGTATCCAAAGCCTATCTGGGTTTTTTAAACCTTTACCACCAAAATAATGTGATACTGCAAAAACCCCTCCAAAACCCCAGCCAGAATCAAATCCCCTCCCCACTTGTCTCACTCCATTCCCCATTGGACTCATGGGGATGTGAAACAAATGCTAATATTTGGTTTTCTGCTGTATCAGAGTAACTTCATTTTATTTCTTTGGATGAGGAGCTGTTACTTGATTCCAGAGTCCCAGGATGGTTTGGGTTGGAAGGGACATTAAAATTTATCTCATTCCAAACAGTGCTAGGGGGTTGGAACCTCCCACGTCCCCTTGCTGACTACATGTTGGCCATGAAACCATGTTAAAACAGCAGATATAAATCTGTTTGAAAATGCTTATTTGTTTTCTAGGCCCAACTCTGATTATTTGCAGATGGGTACTGACTTTGTGCACTTGGTTAAATAGCTGCAATGCCTGCAATTTAAATTTATGATCTCAAAAAGGGGAAATCTCTTGAAATTGAGGGAATGACTCTTAACCAATGAACGGGGTTCAAGTAAAACATAGAGGAATATTTCTCAGAGTCCTGTTCCAGCTTCCTTAATTTTCTGGTGTGAACTTTAAGTCAGAAGTGTTATATTTATGCTTCCCAAAACTTGTTATTCACGGATTGTGTGAGCAAGTTTTAAATGGGCAGAGGGTGGGATTGGTGGGCATCTGTGCAGGGCCAGGACCTGGAGTCAAAGATCCCCGTGGGTCCCTTCCAGCTCAAGAGATTCTGTGATTCTAAATTAATGGGAGCTTTCCACAGAGTCTTGAGGCGAAGGGTTTAAGCCCTCAGCAATGTGTGGTGTGAAAGAAGAGCTGCTTTTGTGTGGTCACCCCCTGCCAGGTCACAGCCAACACTTGACAGTCCCACTGCTGTGTTAGGAGAAAACAGTGAGCCAAATAAATTCCCATTTATCCCCATTCAAGTCATGATTTTGTAGGTCTCTACCACGTATCCCTGGAAGTGCTGGATGGAGCTTGCAGCAGCCTGGTCTAGTGGAAGGTGTCCCTGCCCATGGCAGGGGTGGAATGAGAAGAGCTTTAAGTCCCTTCCAACCCAACCCATTCCAGGATTCTGTGATATTTCCCAGTTCTCACTTTTTAGGCTAAAGATTCCCAGCCTTGCTCTTCCTGTCCCAGATTTTATGGGTCTGTCTCATGGGGATGAGCCAGGACTGAATTGTCCCTCTGCCCACTGCTTTTATTCAACACAGGTTTTATCTTGGCTTCCTTTCAACACCATCTTTCCCCTCCACTCTATTTTTTGGGAGAGCTTTTGCTTGAAATGGAATGGATTTGCAAAAGGCCTGCCTTCCTGACACTTCTTTTTTTCTGGTTCTTCACAGGATGGAGACTTGAGATTCCCCCTGGAGTCTGTGAAGAAGCTGAAGGAGCTCATGGATGGCAACAGACACATCAACCCTCGCATGATGGTCCCCATGGCCAGCTACTCGCCCTGCCAAGAGAAACTCCTCCCTGAGGAATTCCGGCCTGTGTGCAAGAAGGAAGATGCACTCATGATTTTTAGGAGGCTGAGTATGTCGTTCATATTTCGCAATTTTCATTTTTACCACAATTTTCAACCTTAAACATTCCAATAGCAGGAGGCAAAGCCACGGAGTTACTTCCGTGTCCCTTCTAGGGCAGCCGGGAGGGTTTGTGCTGCCTCTGTGCTGCCCCTTCTCCTGCAGAGGTTGGGCTCCATGAACCACCTAAGGAAAATTCCTGCAGTGCTGAGCTGAGCTGGGCACATCCCACTGCTGTGACCAGGGAAAAAAATCCAAAGTAGAATAATGGAATCACTGAATAGTTTGGTTGGGGGGGTATTCAAGCTCATCCCATTCCACCTCCTGCATGGCAGGGACACCTTCCACTGTCCCAGGCTGCTCCAGCCCTGTCCAGCCTGGCCTTGGACACCTCCAGGGATCCAGGACAGCCACAGCTGCTCTGGGCACCTGTGCCAGGGCCTGCCCACCTCACAGGGAGGATTTTCCCCCAATATCTCATCTAAATCTACCCTTCTCTAAGCCATTCCTCCTTGTCCAAAGTCCCTCTGCCATGGGCTGCTGCTGCTGCAGCGTTTGCTTTTTAAAGTTATTCTATTGCAGTTATCTACTGTCCAGTACAAGGGACACTTTAGGATAAAATGCTGCCACGTCCTCTTGTCCTCTTGCTTCCACATGTTCCCACGTGGAAAGGATTCAGGTCAGGTTTCATTCCTTCAGCCAGGTTTTAGCATGAGCTAATTTTACTTAGAGCAGTTCTACCTACAAGGGTCTTTCAAATGACAAAGCAGGAATGCAAATGAGTCTCCAAATGCTCTGGCAGGCAGTTCTGCCCTGCTGGCACCCGACTGATCCCCTCCTTTCTCCTGGACAGCCCTGGCTGCTGAGGATGACCTCTGTGAGATCTGTGCCAACGCTGCCTGCGCCGGCTGCCTCTGACAAGGTGGAAGAACCCACAGAAGACATGTCCAGCTGGGCAGTTTGTGCATTCCTGTGGCAAGATCATGTACTTTCAACAATCAATACTCCTGGGCTTCATCTCCCACTGCAGCCAAGCTGGAGCTGCCTGCTGGTGAGGACATCCCTGCAGTCCTGCAGCACCTGGATCAGGTGCCACCAGCAGAGCAGATGTGCCAGCAGGGAGGCTGGGACTCCTCTGAGAGGTTCCAGTGCTGCAGGAGCTGGGTGACACTGGGCTGGAAATGCCCTGGGTTTCATTTCCCACTATTTTGCCCGGATTTGAACACGCTGTGTGAAACTCAGCATCCCCTGCGGCCTTTTTAATGCCTAATATCTAATATTTAATGCCCAATAAGTAGTATCTAATAATTCATATCTGCCTGTGGTTTGGCCTCCCCTACACAAAACCTCCCTGGGTTATTCCCTTTCCCAGTGTGTTGGATCCTTTCCCTTCCACCTGTCTGCAGGTGACACCTCTGAGTTTGTAGCAGAACTGCAACAAGTCACTCGAGCTGAATTCCTGGTGTTTAGGAGCACTCTGACAGCCAGAAATCAGCCTGTTCCTCGTACTGATTGTTGTTGATTTAGGGAATGGGTGTGCAGCAGCACAGGAACACTTCTTCACTGGCTGGAATATCAAGGTTCTTTAAACTCTCTTTGAGAGAAAGGAATTCCAAAGTGCAGTGCTAGAATCACACTGAAATGAAAGCATTGCTTGTTGTTTTATTTATTGGTGGCAAGATTGGGAAGAAATTATCTGTCCGTGTTTATATGCTGTACAGGCAATAAAAAACTAATAATAATTTGGATATTTTTTGTTTATTTTGTTTTGTTTGTTTTTGCTGGGTTTGGGGGTGGATTTTGTTTTAGGATACTCTTCTTGCCTGCTTGCTTTTTCCCCATATAAGGCATTTCATATCTGAATGAAAGACATCATTTAAATATATCCTGAACTTAATGAAAGAATCCCTGAATGAAAGATATCTTTTAACAATGTCCTGAACTTAAAACCAGTTTGTAGTCACAGAATCACAGAATTATTTGGGTTGGAAAAGCCCTCCAGGATCATTGAGTCCAACCTGTGCCTGATCCCTATCTTGTCCCCCAGCCCAGAATTGAAAATTAGGAAATTAGAAAATTATCATGAGGTGCATAAATCCCTACTTCATTTGACAGGAAGACTGTGAGGGTGTAGAAGAGGATTCCTTACATCCACTATTTTGACTACCTCAGGACAAAATGCATCCAGAGCAAATTCCAAAGAGAGTCCCTCACTAAGGCTCTTCCTGCTGCCTTGAAGTTGGGAAATGGGATTTCCTGGCTTAAACACTGAATTTATTTCTCCAAATAGAGGAGGTACTTCCTATTTTCTTTTAAAACTAATGTGACAAATCCTCAGGTCCCAGCACAGCAGCTTGGACCAGCTCCTGCAGAGAAGGAAGTGATGGATTTTGCAAGGGAGATTTGTTGGAAAGAAGATTAGAACCTGTTTGTCAGGGAGCTGAGAGCGGGTGAGAAAAGATAACACAGACTTCTGATCTTGGTCCTTGCAGATGCAGGTGCCAGGCCCCCAGTTCTGCAGGTCTTCATCTGAGCAGGGAGAAGCAGAACTGGGAACACCTAAAGGACATTTCCCCCCAAACCCAAAATGTGCTTCACTCCACTGCAATGTACAGAGGCTGTTTGTGTCTCTGTTCTTGCTCTGGAATGAGTAAGCCAGAGCAGCAGAGCATTTCCCCCATCAGCCCTGGCTGCCCTTCCCTACAGGACTGTAAGGGGTTGGAAAGGTCTGCTGGCATTCCCCGTGGGGATATTGAGGGTTTGGAGGTCAGTCAGAGAAATCCTGTTCCACATGGAGATGTTACCTGCAGTTATCTGTTATCAGCTCTGCAGGAGCAGCTGTGATTCACAGAATCACAGAATCACAGAATCACAGAATCACAGAATCACAGAATCACAGATTCACAGGATCACAGATTTACAGAACCACACCACCAACCCAGCAGCACCAGGATGGGACCGGCTGCTCCTGGCCTCAAAGAGCAGCCTCTGATGATGCTCCCCACAGACCAGACTCTGTGTTGTATTTTTAAGGTCTTTTAGTGATCTTGATTGCAGCCTTGAGTGTACTGAGGTGTCAGAATCTGAGGTATTGATGATTCTGAGATTGTAAAAGTCTCTGTCTGTCAGCCCCCTGCCAAAGCAGAAGCCATAATTGGTCTGTGCTGGTTTCCAGGTTGTTTATTCTGTTGATCTCTCACATGTTCTGCTGCCCTGCCCAGCTCTGTCCTGCAGGGCAGCGTGTGGGGCTCTGCCCTCAGTGGGATGTGACAAACATTAAATACCAGAAACTCCCTGGGCTGGATTTACAAGAACGTGCCAATATCTGTCACCTACGTTGGACAGTGTGTCCCCAGCCTGAACCAGCAGAAAAATGCCAACACCACAGTGAAACATGGAGGGCATGAAGAAGGAGAAAAAGGACAAGGCACACCCAATTTCCTCCATCTTGTCTCCTTTGGACCCCTAATCTAGAATCCTAAAATTTTACTTTTGCACCCGTGCCACACTTAATTATTACTGATATCAAACACTCAGAGCTTGTAATTCATGCTGTAAGACTGAAAACTCTTTTCCATGGACAGAGATCACAGCCAGTGTCTCTGGGGACTCTGTCCAGGGGGGTTCCTGATCCTGCCAGGGTCCCAGGGCAGCCAGAGGGAAGCTCTGCATTCCCACACTGGAGGAGCTCTGATGGACCTGAGGTCTCCTGGGCCCCCAGCTGCTCTGGGCTGTGTTGGAGGGTGCAGCTCTCCACCACAGCAGATACTGCAAGGCTGCTGGTTCCCACCACGCCTGGCCAGATGTCAGGACCCCAATCCACAAACCACCCCCTGGCTTGATCTGGGATCTTCTCTTCATGATGGACCTGCCTGGTGATCACTGGTGAGCTGCTCCTCTTTACTGTCCCTGCACCCCAGTTGGTCCCTGACTTGCACTTGGCTTCCCAAATTAACTTCAGATCTGCCTCATTAATGAATCCTTAACGTTTGAAGTCTTGGTTGAGCCTGATGAGTGTTTGCCTGCCCTGCTCAGCTCACCCAAGTGCTGTGGGATAGAATTGCTCCCAGCCTCCATCCCACAGGGAGCAGATGGATCTCACTGCTCTGGCAGCACCTCATGATGTTTATAACCCAAAAGCTGAGCTGAGTGAAATCCCACGTCAGGAATAAGTGATTTTGGCACACCTGAATTCTGAGCAGCAGGTAACACTGCAAAGCCCTTCCTGAGAGGTCCAGCAGGAGATGTCCCTGCCAGGGGCTGGAACGAAATGATCTTTGGGGTCCCTTCCAACCCAAACCATTCAGTGGTTCTATGATTCTTCAACACCTCAGTTCCTAAAAAATGAGCTAAAAAAAATTTGAATTGTCTCACTGGTGATTCAATTGGGTAATTTGCATTATAGAAAAGATTACATTGATTCCCTCATTTTTCACCAAACCATCAGGCTTGTGTTACCTCACACACCCTTCTTATTTCTAAATCCATTCTTTTCCCCATTCAACTTATTAAAAAGTTCGTTCCTTTTCTCCACTTGTGGTCTATAAGTGACACCTGAATCCCAGTGCTTTGTGGGGATGGGGAGCCAAGCTCAGGTTGGACAGGGCTTGGAGCAACCTTGGAGTGGAAAGAGTCCCTGCCCACAGCAGGGATGGGATGGGATGGGATGGGCTTCAAGATCCCTCCCAGCCCAGATCAGTCTGGGATTCTCTGATATGACTGATTCTCTGATTTTCTATTAATGTTTAATCACTAATGAGAGCACAGACGTCAGCCTGGTGCTGATATCTTTCTCCTCATATGAGATTTCACCCACCCTAACACTCCTTTATTGCCAGCTCCCAACAGTGGAACTTTTTTGCAGCTGCTGAGCACTGAGGTGACAAATTCCATCAGTTCTGTAATTCCAAGAATTCCTTGAAACAGAGACTGGCAGCTCTTCCCCGTGTCCAGCACCTGCCACTCCCAGCCCCTGGTTCCCCTCATCCCTTTATCATTGTGTAATTCCGTGTTGTGATGCCCACAGTCATCAGGGAGGTGGGAATTTCCTCCTTTCTCACCAGTATTGTATACACAGACTTTTGTACCTCTTCTCCCTTAAGTTTGCCTCACATTTCCCCCTGAATTTCTCCTCACTTTGCTTGGCTCTTCCGCATTTCCAAATTATCCAAGTCTTGGCTGATACATCCATTTATTCTCTTTATTGGCTGCCAGTTCTGGTCCTTCCTACTGTCACCATCCCTTGTCTCTTATCTCTAATTTTTGGAGTGTGAGTTGTTTTTTTCCTCCTTGATTCCACAATGTGGCTCTTTACCCAGCTTTCATTATTCCTTCCCTTCCATTCCTCCCCCATGAGGGATTTATGGGGGTCCTTATGGGATTTCCTTGCCCTTTTCTCCCTCTATTCTGCTGAAACTCAAAATTCCCTGGCCTGATCATTTTTTAATTAGTTTAAAATACATAATTTTGATGTATTTCATATATTTTTACTCTCTTCTCTAGTTCTAGCCACCAGTGTTCTCAGACAACCAGCTTAGATCCTATTAAAATCTTTCAGATTCCTACCCTATATCCCTTCTACCCAGAAATGTTGTGTTTATCTGCTTCTATTCCCATTAACCACTGGCTTCCAACCCATCTGGCAATTATTTGCCCGTATTCTTCCTGTATGTCAGAATATTTGTCAACCTTCTTTCCTCCCCTCCACCTTTCTTTATTTATCTATTTATGTATTTATTTTCATTTTCCATAAAGGGATAAATCCAGACAGCATTTGAGGCAAGCAGGAAAAGAAGTTGTTTTAACAGCAAAAAAAAACTTTTTTCCTTTCAAATGTACAAAAATATGAAGGCTGAAACCCGTTTCTTCACAGAATCCTGGAGTAGTTGAGGTTGGAAGGGACACTGGGGGTCCTCCAG